GTGGTTTTGGCAATAAAAAACATTAGTTATTGAAAAAAAGATGTATAACCAGAAAATGCACATAAAAGTTATCTTTATTAAGCTCATATATTGCAACAAATCATCTCAGATCTGGAGCAAAGAAGATGAAGCTACAGGAAGCAGACTGAAAAGATTAATTTAAAAGTCTTATATTACTCAACATAGACTCTTGTGAGCTTTAAGTCATGTTCTAATGTTGTTTCCTCCTCAAAAACACACCTGGAGTTGTGTTTTGTTTCATTCGCTTTTTGAGTCACCCACAAACTGAAGTATGTGGCGTTGTTTTCATATTTATTAAGCTTCAAAATGAGGATTAGTGTGAGCGCTGAGACAAACATCTCTTCTCTCTTTCCTCCTGTCTTATCTTTACATATTTATTCATTTTAGCACAACTCAGCAAACCACAGAGATAAACTTTGACAGGAAGTAGTGACGCTGACAGTGATGCTGCCGGGTGTTGTTGTGCATTTGTTTTTCAAGATAAAACCAAAAGTTAGGAGAAAAAAAAATAAAATGTTTTCTTCATTATTGGTCTCCAAAACCAAAATGAAAAAAACAGATAAAGATTCGATTTTTTATTTTTCAATTTTGTTATTAAATAAGTAATGGAAAAAACTACAACTACTACTACTACTATTACTACTACTACTACTATTACTACTACTACTACTACTATTACTACTACTACTACTACTACTACTACTACTACTACTACTACTACTACTACTATTACTACTACTACTACTACTATGACTACTACTACTACTACTACTATGACTACTACTACTACTACTACTATTACTACTACTGCTACTAATACTACAACTACTACTACTATGACTACTACTACTACTACTATTACTGTAGTAGTAATAGTAGTAGTAGTAGTAGTATTAGTAGCAGTAGTAGTAATACTATTACTACTACTACTACTAATACTACAACTACTACTACTACTACTACTACTACTATTACTACTACTAATACTATTACTACTACTACTATTACTACTACTACTACTATTACTACTACTACTACTACTACTACTACTACTACTACTACTACTACTACTACTACTACTACTACTACTACTACTACTACTATTACTACTACTACTACTACTACTACTACTACTACTACTACTTACTACTACTACTACTACTACTACTACTACTACTACTACTACTACTACTAATAATAATAATAATAATAATACTTATAATACTACTACTACTATTACTACTATTACTACTACTAATACTATTACTACCTCTACTATTACTACTACTACTACGAACAATAATAATACTTATAATACTACTACTAATACTACTACTACTACTACTACTACTACTAATAATAATAATAATAATAATAATAATAATAATGATAATAACAACAACACGCTTCAATACTGTAGTAAAAAGTAAAAGATGATGAAATAAATGATGATGGTGAAAATAATATTAGTTGTAGTGACTAAAATGGGAAGAAAAACAAAGAGAAAAAAGAGAAAGTGAAATTAAATTATAAACTGGCCAAAATATAAATATAAGGGGGCCAATGGTTATGCAGTACTACCACATAACTTTTGTTTTATTTTCTTAAATGTGTGTGTGTGTTGGAAGGAAGAGAAGGGGAGTTTTGTTGTTTCATATTTGTTGTAGGTATTGTTTTAAGTTTTTGTGTTTTGTTTTAATGGAAAAAAAACTATCTAGCTATTTTAACAGATCAGAAAACAGAATAATATAAGATTTCTGGACAGATTTTGGAACAGGCTCAAAGAGGCTCCAGAACAGATGGAAGCACTCACTGTCTGAAGAACAAGAAAACAAATAATACACTTGTGAAATTCAACCACTGCAGCGAAACTTCTGGTCTGAACTGAGTCACTGAAGAAACTACACCATAGACTTTTATAAAGAGTCACCCATAGCGTTCAGCTCCAGTCAAATGAAGCTCATCGAGGCTTACAGTTATAGGCGCGAATTTGGAGCCGGGTTTATTTAGAATTCCGATGGGATGGAATAACTAAAGATCTTGTGAGACAAAATTGCAGCGAGATTGTACACACATCCTGAAAATTATCACTTGAGATTTTTCCCCATGTTTTTACATTTGGATTGGATACAAAAATCGAGTTAAGTACTGATGAGTTACATTTTTAGAGAAGCCGTAGTCCCGAAAAACACTGCTACAATGACAGCAGAAATATCAAATATCAAATAAAGTAAATCAAAAACGGTGAGGCCAAAACTGGAAACTAAATTGCAAAATGTATTATTATAAAGAATGTAAAAAATCTCATCTTGTCTCATTCTCGTCGATCCAATCTCATTTCTCGTCTCGTATTGTGGAAATTGTATCTCGTCCCACTCCTAAGAGCGACTAAAACAGCCGATCGGAAGGAAGGTTGTTGAAAGTAACGCCCCTTTTTTATCTTAGCAACGCTGTCAATCAAACCCATTGCTAAGAAAGAAAAGAAGATGCCTGATTAGTCTTTTATTAATGTTCAAATCTTGGTTTATGGACAAAATAGAGAAATAAAAACACCAGGGTCATGTAGAGTTAATACGAAAACCACGCAAAGTTATTCAGAGATAAAAGGATTCCGATCATCCTCCGGTCCAAAGTTCTGTCAGAGTTTGCTCTCGTGTCCTGCTCCTGTTTCTGTTTTTACACAGAAAAGTGCAAAGTTTTGGAAAATCACACACATATTTCACATCCTGGAAACACCAGGCCTGCATCTGAACCAGTGTGTTTTTATATGAGACAAGCACGCCTCAGCAAAACCAGAACTGGACCAGGACTGGACCAGGACTGAGACAGGACTGAACCAGGACTGAGACAGGACTGGACCAGGACTAAACCGAGCTTGAACCAGGACTGAACCAGGACTTAACCAGGACTGAACCAGGACTGGACCAGGACTGGACCAGGACTGAGACGGGACTGGACCAGGACTAAACCGAGCTTGAACCAGGACTGAACCAGGACTTAACCAGGATTGGACCAGGACTGGACCAGGACTTAACCAGGATTGGACCAGGACTGGACCAGGACTTAACCAGGACTGAACCAGGACTGGACCAGGATTGGACCAGGACTGAACCAGGACTAAACCATGGCTGAAGTTGGACTGAACCAAGACTGAACCAGGACTAAATAGCAGGACTCAACCAGGACTGAACCAGGACCGAAACAGGACTAAACCAGATCTGAGCCACAACTACAGCAGGACTAAACAAGGACTAAACAAGGACTAAACCAGGACTAACCCAGGACCGAACCAGGACTAAACCAGGACTAAACAAGGACCGAACCAGGACTAAACAAGGACCGAACCAGGACTAAACCAGGACTAAACCAAGACTGAACCAGGACTAAACCAGAAATGAACCAGAACTGAGCCAGGTCTATAGCAGAACTAAACCAAGACTCAACCAGAAATAAACTAGGACTAAACCAGGCCCAAACCAGAACTGAGCCAGGACTATATAGCAGAGCCTAAACCAGGACTCAACCGGGACTCAGCCATGATTAAAACAGAACTAAACCAGGACTAAACCAAGATTCAACTAGCACTTATCCAGAACTCAACTAAGACTAAACCAGGACTGAACCAAGATTGAACCAGGACTGAACGAGGCCTAAACCAGGTCTGAAGTTGGACTGAATCAAGACTGAACCAGGACTAAACCAGAACTGAGCCACGACTATAGCAGCAGGACCAAACCATGACTCAACCAAGACTAAACCAGGACTGAACCAGGCCCAGACCTGCACTAGAAGCTCGTGGTGTTTATGTGCAGTGAAGTCCTGGTTCTGTTCCAAACTCATGATAAATATATGCACATGTGCTTATGGGTTATGTAATACAATGTAATATAATATTAGGCTCATTTTCATCAAGATGTTTTCTATTAAAATCACTGGAGCCGCCTCAAAATCCACTATTTGGACAAAACAAATGAGAAAACCTGATTTATTTACTTGTATCTTATTTTAGTTTAGTTATTTGTATTATTATTTTGACTATGCACACAGTGGTTCAGACTCACGATTAAACAAAACAGTCATAAAACTATAAAACCAAATCACTTTCACCTTTGAGTCCAGTAAAGTGACTAAACCAGAACTGAACCAGGACTAAAGCAGGACTAGACCAGGACTGAATCAGGACCAAACCAGAACTAAACCAGGACTAGACCAGGACTTAACCAGGACTAAACCAAGAGTGAATCAGGACTGAACCAGGACCAAACCAGGACTAAACCAGGACTAAACCAAGAGTGAATCAGGACTGAACCAGGACCAAACCAGGACTAAACCAGGACTAAACCAGGATGGAATCAGGACCAAACCAGGACTAAACCAGGACTAAACCAGAACTAAAGCAGGACTAAAGCAGGACTGAACCAGGACTAAACCAGGACAAAGCCAAGAGTGAACCAAGACTGAACCAGGACCAAACCAGGACTAAACCTGGACTAAACCAGAACTAAACCAAGACTGAACCAGGACTGAACCAGAACTAAACCAAGACTGAACCAGGACTGAACCAGGACCAAACCAGGACTAAACCAGTACTAAACCAGAACTAAACCAAGACTGAACCAGGACTGAACCAGGACCAAACCAGGACTGAGCCAGGACTAAACCAGGACTGAACCAAGATTGAACCAGGACTGAATCAGGACTAAACCAGGACTGAACCAGAACAGAATCAGGACTAAACCAGGACTGAACAAGGACCAAAGCAGAACTAAACCAGGACCAAAGCAGAACTAAACCAGGACCAAAGCAGAACTAAACCATTACTAAAACCAGGACTCAACCAGAATTGAACCAGGCAAGTTTATTTGTACAGCACAATTCGTACACAAAGTAATTCAACATGCTTTACAGAAAAACAGAACTAGGACTTAACCAGAACTAAACCAGAACTAAACCAGGACTAAACCAGGACTAGTACTCACCACATAGTAGAACTTCATGCTGGGCTGTTGTGTGGAAAAACCTGCAGGTCTCATCAGATCTCATGAGTCCGGACGCTCTCAGGTCCTTCAGGTTCTCCTCGTGGTCTGGTTGTAATTCTCTGCTCTTTTTTTTCCTCCCTCCACTCTTTCTCTCTCTCTTCCTCTCCTCTCTCCCTCTTTTTTTCTCTCCTGTGTCTCTCTTGTGTTTACCTCTCCTCCCCTGAACCTAAACCAGGTCTAAACCAGGTCTACACCTCACTCCTCTTCTCTTTCTGTCTTTATCTCTGTCTAGCTCTGTCATTCACTTGTCTGGCCCCTCCCACTCAGCTCAAACCCCGCCCCCTCACGCTTCCTCTCGCCCATGTTTGGATTTCAGTCATTTCCTTATTTTTATTGATGCAGATCTGATAAGAGCCTGTCTGCAAACTCTGACCACAGATGAACAGTGAAGTAGAGACACATTCAGTCATAGAAAATTCTAAAATTACTGAAGTGGGGAAAAGTTTAAGTGGCTGTCATTCTTAACTAAGAAAAGTTACGCACTGTAGCTTTAATAGAGGCTCGTGTTTTGTACTTGATACATTTTGATGAGTTAAAATTTTGTTTCATGAGACTCATTGGAACTATGGGTTTAATTTAAGACAAGCACCTCAGGGAAACCAGGACTAAACCAAGGCTAAACCAGGACTAAACCAAGGACTAAACCAAGGACTAACCAAGACTAAACCAGGACTGAACCAAGACCAAACTAACCAGGACTGAACCAGGACTAAACCAACTGACTAAACCAGGACTGAATCAGGACTAAACCAGGACTGAATCAGGGACTAAACCAGGACTAAACCAGGACTGAATCAGGACTAAACCAGGACTAAACCAGGACTGAATCAGGACTAAACCAAGACTAAACCAGGACTGAATCAGGACTAAACCAGGACTGAACTAAACCAGGACTGAAATCAGGGACTAAACCAGGACTAAACCAGGACTGAATAAACCAGACTGCTAAACCAGGACTAAACCAGGACTGAATCAGGACTAAACCAAGACTAAACCAGGGACTAAACCAGACTAAACAGGACTGAATCAGGACTTAAACCAGGACTGAATCAGGACTAAACCAGGACTAAAACCAAGACTAAACCAGGACTGAACCAAGACTAAACCAGGACTGAATCAGGGCTAAACCAGGACTAAACCAGGACTGAATCAGGGCTAAACCAGGACTAAACCAGGACTGAATCAGGACTAAACCAGGACTGAACCAGAGTTGAACAAAGACTAAACCAGGACTGAACCAAGACTAAACCAGGACTGAATCAAGACTAAACCAGGACTGAATCAGGGCTAAACCAGGACTAAACCAAGACTAAACCAGGACTGAACCAAGACTAAACCAGGACTGAATCCGGGCTAAACCAAGACTAAACCAGGACTGATTCAGGACTAAACCAGGACTAAACCAGGACTGAATCAGAGCTGAATCAGTATGAAAGTATAGCTGTGCCAGAAGTTTTAAATTAGAATATTTCATAATGAATGAAATAACTTGAATAAAAAATTGCTGAAATGAAAATAATTGGGAGAGAAAAGCATTATCATGTGACAGGTGGGTGTGATTTTACATTACTTTCCAGCATCTTTAATTCAGACTGATAACATTCAAGTTGAGAAATTCAAGTAGAGAAATTCAGATTGAAAACATTCAGGTCAAAGTTCACCACACAATCTGTTACTATGGGAACTTGCTAACACCAGGGGGCGCCGTGCTCATAGAGTCCTGTTTTATCAGTCCGTATGCGTCGCAAAAGTCTGGCATCACAGTTTAAGTCACGGCTCCAAATAGCCCAGTGGAAAACATGAACATCGATCACTAGGCTATATTGTTTTTTTGTATTTTGTTCGACTGAACTGGCTCGTCGTACCCAACACAGTTAAAGAGATCTGATTTCATAACGGAGGAAGAATAACTCAAATTGAATATACATAAAAAACACAAACCACTAAAGTATAAGTAACACAGTCATTTTAAAAATACTTACTGCTTGGTTGTTCATGGTGTATGTCAATGTTGAATGTCTTCTGCTTTTTGGCCTCTATGAGCACGGCGCCCCCTGGTGTTAGCAAGTTCCCATAGTAACAGAATGTGCAGTGAACTTTGACCTGAATGTTTTCAATCTTGAATTTCTCAACTTGAATTTCTCAACTTGAATGTTATCAGTCTGAAAAGTAACCCCCCCGGTCCTGGTTCACTTCTGGTTCATTCCTGGTTTAGTCCTGGTTTAGTCATGTTCAGTCTTGGTTAAGTCCTGATTCAGTCCTGGTTTAGTTCTGGTTTAGTCCTGGTTTAGTCCTGGATTAGTCTTGATTTAGTCCTGGTTTAGCCTTGGTTTAGTCCTGGTTTAGTTCTGGTTCAGTCCTTGAATTTCTCAACTTGAATGTTATCTGTCTGAATTAAAGATGCTGAAAAGTAATGTAAAATCACACCCACCTATCCCATGTTAATGCTTTTTTCCCCCAAATTATTTCCATTTCAACAATTTTTTATTCAAGTTATTTCATTCATTATGAAATATTCTAATTCAAAACTTCTGGCACAACTATACTTCCATAAACCAGGGCTAAAACAGGACTGAACCAGGACTAAACCAGGACTGCATCAGGACTTAACCAAGACTGAGCCATGACTAAACCAGGTCTAAACCAGGAATGAACCATTACTCAACCACAACTGAACCAGGACTGAACTCTGCTGGGGTCAGTTGGAGTTTCCTCTTCTGTCCACACCTCTTCATTTGGATTTCACTGATAAGACTCATCCTCCTCTTTCATCCACTCCTTTTCTTCCTCTTTCACTCCTTTCTCCCTCCTCTTCCTCTCTCTGTTTGCCCAGTCTCTTCCTCTACTCTACTTTCTCTGCCTTTCTCTCGTTCCTCTGTCTTCTTCTGATTCTTGCTCACTGGACTCACTGTAAAAACATCTCAATTTGACCTGTCAAAAAAAGTGTTAAGATCGTCTGAAAGTTCAAGAAAAATACAAAATGGATTTAAACAGCACATTTTCAGGAGCCAGTGATAAAAACTGATTGATTTTCAACAAAAAAGGTGTGTAAAAGTTTGATTTTGTGTGGTTGTAGTTTCCTAATATTTCCACCAGATGGCACCAGATTCCTCGTAGTAAACCCGGATTTATTCAGTTATCAAAAACCTCTAAACTCAAGCTAAACCAGTTTATAATTGGCAAAAGCTTTCTGTAATAAAGAAAGAATTTAAAGCAACAGTATTTCACTTTTTCACCAAAAAATAATCTAAAATAAAGGCATGTTTTATCATTTTGGTTGCATTTTTTGCACTAAAAACATAGAAAAACATGTGTTCTCACAGTGAGCGGGCTTGCATCTCCATAAACCTGACTCTTATTTGATCTGGAAGAGAACCTCCTGTTTGTTTCCATGTGAATGTCGTTGCTTTAGTTATAATATTCCACAGTACGGCATTAAACCTGTCTATGTCTAATGTTTTGAAGTATGGTTTTAATTTGTTTTAACTGATGTGCCACCTCCAGAAAGCAAAATGATTGTGTTTCTTGCTACATTTTTTGGTGCCAAGTCTCTTCTCTCCACAAAACCAGAGCATACAGATCTTGGGCGCCCTCTAGTGCCAAAGTTACGAACGTATAATTCAAAAGTGAAACATTCAAATCACTTTCAGACATGAACAAGAATCCAAACACCGACGTCCCGAAAATAATTTATTCATAGGATATTTCATTTATCAGGCTGTGCTCTTCGGCCTTTCACAGACACAATACTCCACATGTCTCCTCAAATGAAAATAACAAAAATAGAATCAAATAGAATCAAAAATCATCAAAATCATCAGATCTCATGATTCCAAAGGTTTCTGTGGTCACTTCTCATGTTTGTGTCTTTGCACCAGTGACAAAAGGAAAAGTCAAATCAACATTCAAGAGCTTCATGAATCTGTGTTTATGCATCTGCTGATTTATAGAACTTTATTATAGTATACTTTTAATAATATGCTATGAATTGTAATATTTTTGTTTAATTTCACCTTAACTTTTAGCATATATGTTTTTGTCCTATTTTTGGACTAGGTGTCCTTTATAAATATTATAACATTTCTATTATTATTCATTTTAATAATTCTTAGAAGTTATTTTCTTTATTTACTTTTACCCTGATAAACGTTTTGACCATTGCACATTTATAATATATTTTATTACATTTCATTAAATTGTATTTAGTTTTAAAGCATTGCACGTGAGTTTAAATGTATGAAAATATATTCAAGATCATTTGAGCAAATGTAAAATATTCAATAAACAAGGTCTCACCGGGGGGCGCTCTCGCTGCACCAGATTAAACTGGATTTAGTCCAGTTTCCAGTAGTGATCTCAACCAACAGGTTTCAATATCATTTTGCTATTTTCATGCTTTATTCTTTTTTGGCCTCCTTTGTTCTTAAAGGTCCTATATTACACAAAACTGCTTCTTGTGAGCTTTGAGTCAAGTTAGAAAACTGTTATCCCTCAAAAACACTCCTACAGTTGTGTTTTGTTTCATTCACAAGTTTGAGTAATCCTTTATTACCTGGTCCCCGAAGGGTTGACCAGGTTGTGTATTCAACCTGTGTGTCTGTGTGTGTCTGTGTGTGTGTCTGTGTGTGTGTGTCTCTGTGTGTGTGTGTCTGTGTGCATATGTGTGTCTCTGTGTGTGTGTCTGTGTGTGTGTATGTGTGTGTGTGTCTCTGTGTGTGTGCCTGTGTGTGTGTGTCTGTGTGCATATGTGTGTCTCTGTGTGTGTGTCTGTGTGTGTGTATGTGTGTCTCTGTGTGTGTGCCTGTGTGTGTGTCTCTGTGTGTGTGTGTGTATGTGTGTGTGTGTGTCTCTGTGCGTGTCTGTGTGTGTGTCTGTTTGCATGTGTGTGTGTGTCTCTGTGTCTGTGAGCATGTGTCTCTGTGTGTGTATGTCTGTTTGCGTGTGTGTGTGTGTCTGTGTGCATGTGTGTCTGTGTGCATGTGTGTCTGTGTGTGTGCATGTGTCTGTGTGCATGTGTGTGCATTTCTGTGTGTGTGTGTCTGTGTGCGTGTGTCTGTGTGTGTGTGTCTCTGTGTGGGGGTGTCTGTGTGTGTGTGTGTCTGTCTGTGTGTGTGTGTCTCTGTGTGTGTGTGTCTGTCTCTTTGTGTGTCTCTCTGTGTGTGTGTGTCTGTCCACCCACAATAAATCCACCATTTATGGACCGATCGTCGCCAAATTTGGTACGTGGGTCAAGCCCCCGTGCCCGAAACCGCAAAAAAAAAAAAAAAAAAAAAAAAAAAAAAAAAAGTTTAGTGACAATCCGAGGTCATTTGAGGTCACACGGGTCAATTGAAAGGTCACACCATTATAAAGGACAGGCAATTTCATCAATTTCTGAACCATCTGCAGGCTAAAATATTCATCCAATCATCACACAAGTTGACACACACATAAGTAAGGACTGGGCTCCCCATAAACTGCCCCCACCAATGCTCTGTCCCACCTTGTGATGTCATGAAGTTTTCAAGTTAACAGCTACTTTTACTTTTAGTTCAGCAGAGTATTCCAGGGTTGAAATTATGGAGTTAAAAGACTCAATGACTCAATGGAGCACTTCCTGTATTACCACGTGACATCACAAGGTGGAACAGAGTGTTTTCAGTTTGAGGGGAGTGTGTGTTAAACATGTGTGAATGAAACAAAACACAACTCCAGGTCTGTTTGTGATGAGGAAACAACATTATAACATAGATCAGAAAACAGCGTAATATGGGCCCTTTAAAATGTTGCCTACACTAAAAAATATCGTTGTGCAATACGTAATAAATCGGGCATTCATTGTTATAATAATAATAACAACATCTCTATAATTTAAAGTGGTTTGTTCAAAAGCTACAAACATTACATTTTGGCCTTCTCTGAAAAAGTGAAAAAAAAAAAGATGATTCAAACTTTCAAACAATCAGAGTTCAAATTTAAGGTCCGTTTTTGCACAAATCGTCCCGTGTTTGTGCCATATATCGTCTTTTTACCTCCTGATCTCTGTTCTGAAATCAAGAAATCAAAAATCAAGCGAGATCATTTCCTGTAACAGTCATTCGAGTACATTCATACGGCGGATGCATAGACTGAATGTGAACACGAAAATCGACAAAAACATGGAAAATTACTCAAAAATGCTTTAAATTATGTGAAACGTTGAAATGTTTTAAACTGGGCTGGAGGACAGGTCAGAGCTCTGAGGTGGAATTTGCTGTTTAAAGATGAATTGTGTAACTTTTCTAGTGGTCTGTCAGCTTCTTGTTTTTATGGATGTTATTGTTCTGCCTGGAATGTTCCGCAGTATGACATTAAACAGTTATAACTTACATGTATTCAATTACAGGTGGTTTTATAGCTCAAAAATACATAGAAAACAGACTTTCTGACGGTGAGCGGGGTCACCTCTCCACAGATCTGACCTGTAACTTGGTCTGGTTTGGTCTCCGTGAAGATAGAAAGCTTCAGTGCCACACTGTGAAACATTCCAGATAAAGCAACAACATCTGCATGGAGAAAATCATTTGACGGACGCTCCACCAGAAAAGTTACACAGTGCACCTTTAAACCATAAGATTAATAAAATATGACAAGTTTGTGGAGCCAATGTCAAACAAATAATGATAAAGTTTGTAGATTTCTTTCAAAAACAGTAAATCACCCACAGAGTTTTATAATCCCCTGCGCTCAGCTCAGGATGAGGTCATGAGAATGACGATGGAAAACATCTAATACAAAACCTGTTTAAAAATGTTCTGTTTGTTTTTAAATTGATAATATTTCTGATCAGATCAGATGGACTCCTTGGCATTTTGTTTGTTTGAATTAAAGCACCATTATGCAACATTTACCTAAGGAAATATATAATTTGTTTTTCATTTTTCGGTTCTATAGCTATAAAAATAAACGAATGGAGCACAACAGTGAGCACGCCGACTCCCCGTAAACTTCCCATTAATTTTTCCCATAGACTTTCTGAAATTAATTATATTAAACATTTGAAAGCTCAGGGCTAACCAGCTATGTTGTAACAAATGACCCAAGAGCTATCACTTTATTAAAAATCACTGCAGAGTTATTAAAACATATCACTAAATCTTGTGTTTTAAATGTGCTTTTTGGACTTAAGACAACCGCGTTATGGATATTATTTAGTACATAGCAGATATAGACTGTATATACTGTATAAAGTATATACAATATTGTAACCAAAACTAGACTCAAGACGAGAGGTGACGGAGCCTTTTCTGTGGCTCCTGTCAGATTCTCTCAGTCTTTAGTGCAGTTTAAAGGGACAGTTCAGAATTTTGGACATATATCTGGACTCATTTCCTAGTGAGCCAGAGTACTGTAGGTGTGTGAAGACACTTTTTGAAATATTCCATCCAGTCCTTGTATTTGCAGAGGTCACTGGTGCTAGGCTAGTGCAAGTCAATGGCCATAGTTAGCCTGCCACTAAAAACAGTCTTACCCACTCCACAAAACACCTGAAGTAAATCTGTTATTACACCAGACTGTCGATGTAAATGTCTGTGTCAATAGAATCATTTTAGAAGTAAAACCAACCTTTAATTTGAAGGATTTATGTATAGAAAGTTTGGCAGCCATTCGCATCGAAGTCTGGTGTAATAATAGATTTGCTTCGGGTGTTCTGTGGAGTGGGTAAGACTGTTTTTAGTGGCAGGCTAACTATGGCCATTTACTTGCACTAGCCACCACCAACCTCTCCAAATACAAGGACTGGATGGATTATTTAAAAAAGTGTCTTCACATATCTACAATACTCTGGCTCACTAGGAAATGAGACCCTATGTTCAAAATTCTGAACTGACCCTGGCATTTAGTACGAGCTAGTCAGGTTATCTTGGTGGTTTGGTTTGTAGTTTTCACGTGCTGTCTGTATATATATATATATATATATATATATATATATATATATATATATATATATATATATATATATATATATATATATATATAGCCTCGATGAGCTTCATTTGACTGGAAGCGGACGCTATGGGTGACGTACATGGCAGCTGGTTAGCGTCTGCGATGTCTTTGAACTCTTAATATTCGAAATTTTCAAAAAGTCTACAGGAAAAATGAATGGAAAATTTAGTTCTGGAAGCAGAGTGAGTAATCACTGTTGAGCTCCATAGTCACTACGTTTGTGGCTAAGAAAATTTTACTTTATAAAAATTACAAGACAGTATGTTGTCTACAAATAGCCTAAGTTTTAGTTACACTTTTTGTAAGGGGCAGTTTTTTGTTTTTTTTTAATGAAATGCAGATAAACTAAATATGCAAATGAAAAACGAAACGGAAGAAACCAAAATAAAATTAACTATAAACATTTTAATTTCACTATTTTTGAATGCACAACAAAAATACAGGTGGCGATTTTCAAAACAGAAGGTGTAAAATGGGACACACACACATGCATTTGAAAACATGCTCTTTCGGAATGTCACCTCTGCCTCTCAAACTCCCACGCGCTCTTCTGTCCCCTCCGAGACACCGTAGTCTTTGGGCCCCGTCATGAGGGACTATAGAAAACCCTGTAAAGCCGAACCTGCTTCATGCCTCTATGTTCAGAAACTCCACAGGAACGGCCCAATTTCGACATTTAAACATAGAATTTTGCATGACAATTTTATATTTTTCAGTTCGTCTCCTCCACGATTTCTCCTCCTCCATAAATGCGTTAAGATACGGTTAAACTTTGTACAATATGCATTCAATAATAACAAATAACGAGAATAATATTTCGCAAAAACAAAATGGAGAATCCTTGAAATAAACATTTTTGATGCGTTTTTTTTTTTTTTTTTTCGTGTAAACTGAATGAAAGTGCTTCCGTTTTGTGGTCCACCGTTTTTGTGGAAAGTCATGTTTAAAATCCACGCTTTAACTTAATGAAATTTTGTGTCTTTGGTGCAAAAAAAAAAATCACCAAAATTGGTCTGAAATTGTAAATCCGGTTTGGTCAGTCCTGGTTTTGTTGTTTTGGTGCAGAAATAACCAAAATATAAGTTGTACTTTCAGGTCCTTGGTCACTTTTAGTTCAGACGCTTGGCACTGGATAAAATTTGGTCGAGGTTTCGTTTTCCATTTTAAACGACTTCTCTTGTAGATTTGCAGATGCAGTGGCAGAGTGGTTAGCTTTCCCACCTCACAGCGAGAAGGTCCCTGGTTGGAGTTTGCATGTTCTTTCTGTGTCCATTGACCCAAAACATGCACAATTATGGGTCAAATCCTCCAGCTAAAGACAAGCTCAAGATCTGGAGATGGGTCCCTCTGCTCCTGACAGGTTTAACCCAGAGACACTGAAGGACGGGTCAAATGCAGGGGACACAATTTGCTACAGGGACGATAAAATCACCACCATAAAGATAATTTAAGTTGGTTTTCATTGAAAATTTTCCGAACTTCGATACTTGTTCCATATAAGTGGGAATACGCTTATTTTGAAGAACTTTTTCCGGACTGTTTTGCTCCAACCATATGACCATTTGTCCAAACTCTGCGTTCTGATTGGACGTCACAAATGGTCAGTGATGAGTTGGAGCGACCAACCCTGTCCGCTAGATGGCGCTGTGTCTCTAGGTCATATTGTGCGGCCTTGTTGGCCTCGTTAGCTTCGTTAGCGCTGTCACTGGTCACTGGTTGCAGTTGCTGGTAGCAGACTTAGCTTCGTCGTTAGCGTTACCGGCGTTAAACTCTGTGACGCGGCGCGCTAGCGGGTTTGTGCTTCGGAGCAGTTCCATGGCGGACACTCGTGTTCCGCAGGAGGAGGATTTGTTTCCTTTCTTCTGGAGCAAAGCCATGAAGTTCTCGTTCCTGGAGGTGGAGCGCTGGCTGGAGCTCAGGGTGTAGCTGCGCAGGTCTGAGCCGCAGGGGGCGCCCTTCACCGGAGACGAGAGATTCTGGCGGCTCCCGAAAGAGTCTGATGGTTCTTTACGACCCAGGACCTTCCTCTTTGACCTGAAGAAGAGAAGGATATGTTTAAAGAGGGGGTACTTTACTTCTGTTAACACAAAACATATTTAAATCACCATGTTACCTTTATCAGTTTCAGTTTTGACAGTCTTTACTCTCTTTGCTCTCTGCGCTAAGTCACTCCCCCTTCAGAGCACTATCATTACACACTCAGCGTGCATCCTACACGTAGCTTCAGGTTTGTGAAGATGTTGCGTATAGTTTTGCTGAATGTCTCTTTTAAAGTTGTCTTCATACAAAAATAATAATGTTCCAGTCTATTTGGTTATTCTCCTCTGGTCCTGTCTGACCCTGCTTCTCTGGCTCTGCTCCTGTCAGCTCCTGTCTGCACCTGCTCCACTGGCTCTGCTCACGTCTGCTCCTCTGGCTTTACTCCTGTTAGCTCCTCTGGCTCTACTCCTGCCTGCTCCTGCCAGCTCCTGCCTGCTCCTGTCTGCTCCTGTCTGCTCCTGTCTCTCTGTTTGGTTGTTCTGTCTCTGTTTCTTCTCAGACAGAACTGATCAGATTCACTTGTTGCTTAGAGACTGGACCTCTCGGAGTTTATGAAACGTGTGGACAAGACGCAGACAGAAGAATAAACCTGATTGGTTGATCGCGGCTGCTGTTACCGGGCTGTTGCTAGGCAGATTTCTCCAACTCACACCATCTACACTGTGTTTTCCTCACATGTTTTTTTCTGGTTCATGATGTTCAAGAAAAATGTTTGTTTGGCAGGAATCATGTGTGGATGTTGAAAATAGAAATGATTTGAAAATGTATGTTTCTTGCACAGTTCCTTCAGATATTATTTAAAACAGTTAGTCTCTTATTGTGTCTCTCCTTTGAAAATACCAGATTTTATGCTTTATTTAAAGAGGGGGTATTATGCATAATCAACTTTTTGGAGCTTTCTACCATGTTATAACATTGTTCCCTCATCAAAAGTGGAGTGGTTTGATGCCATCCATGCATGTTTGAGTAATTTAGCTCTTTATCTCTCTTGGGCTCTATTCAAAGCAATCTCACTTAGTATTTTCTAGTTTTGTAGTTTTGGCAGGGACAGCAGATACTGACATACAGTATATAGAGGTATGTTACCTAGCAACCATAATGGCCTTACCAGCTCGTCAAAGCCTGATCTCATTAGATCTCAGAAGCGAAGCCTGGTTAGTACTTGGGTGGGAGACCATTCCTCCACATTGCCTGTGTGCATGTGGTGTCAAACGGTGTGTGGCCTGCTATATTCTGATGCAATTTGTCCAACACACTGTTTTAAGGGATATTTCTTGCATTCTGTAGGTAGCTGTGGCATTTATACATTACCTCAGTTCTATCTCTACCTCATTAGGTGTAAACATGAGTTGCATTTAAGACCTGTTTATGATGGTGGTTGTTGTGTTGGAATTTTGCTTCTCTTGTAAAGTCGTACCGAGGACACCTGCAGTGTCACTGTTAACACTGTTGACATTTCTCTGCGGTTAGGCGTCATACAACTATACTATACTTACTTTAACACAGTGTTTCCCACAGCTCTTTGCTGTTTTTGTATTTAGGACGGCCACCTAGACAACAATTGCCCCCCGCCTTGACTACGTCCCTCCGCACACCCCCCCGGTCCTCACTTTCGCCTGCATGATATAACCTATTTTCTGTGGGAAACACTGTAACATGATCAGTTTCCTTGGTCAGTCAATCAATTAACCTGCCCAGGAACTTCAGGTGGAAGTTTGCACTGGTGCTACATCCTGGCACAATGCATCTCTCCTGTTAAGGTTAATGTAGATTGTGCCACATTGTGCACTGTCTCATTAAATAAATAAACTAACTCGTCTCAGAGAAGCGGTCTACTATGGTCTTATCTCGGCCAGCGTGTTTCCAGGCTGTCCTTCTTAGCTGCTATTTAAACCTCCCTGTGTGGAAGCAGAGTCAAGCTTGAACAGCAAATACTAATGTGCATCCAGACAGCCAGAGTCTCTGTACAACTCTAGGACTCGTTTGGACAGCACTTGTCATTGCCTGATTTGGGACCGTTTTACAAAGTGAGCAAGCCCAGATACTTTGGCACAAGCGCTGAAGCTGCTTTAGTAATTGTACGGTAAGATGAGCAGTACGTGTGGCTATAGTAACAGAACACATAATAAACATTGATGATGGTTATCATTAGCATTATCTCAGACCTGTGTATGATGGTGAACAGGTCTTCTGTGGTGTGGGTGGAGCAGCTCAGGACGTCTTCAGCTTCTTCAGAAACCTGTGGCTCTGACGTCTCGCTCACGGTGCTTTCGTCTGGACACAAGACAAGTGCAATACAGATATAATCATGTTTACAGATGTTCTACTGATTTATACTGTTTTAAAAATGTGGAAAACTCACTCACTGAAAAACTCACTTTAAACAGTTTACAGTGCAAGTGTTAACAATCTGTATTAGACTTCCTTATTCTTGGACAATAAAATTATTTATAATTGCAGACAGCAATTATGAATCAATAAGAGAATAGGAACTGGATCAGTACTGATTGGTTGGCAATATGGTGTAAAATATGTAAAATAAGTGATTAAATTTGCTCAAACATGCACAAATCACTCTAGACCAGATTTTCAAAATTCTAAACAGGGACACACCCGGGTTGGGATGGTTGGTATAAATAAAATTGTGAAAAGGCCATGTAAGATTGTGCATTCTCATGTCAGTCATAATCTGAGAGACGTCTGTCACTGCATTTTTTATTTATTTTTTGCTTTATGGTCATTCACAAACACAGATTTCTGTTTTTTGGCAAATTAAATGATAATTTATGTTCCTCTTTTACTGTTGCCAGGGATTAGATTAGCCAAAAATTGTGATAGTCCTTTTATAGTCCTCGTTTAGAGTTGATGTAGTTCAGCTTTAATCTTAGTTTAGTCCTAGTTTAGACCTGGTTTAGAGCAAAGTGGTTAAAAATAACAAGGACACCTGGGACATTTCTTGTATAAAATTGGGACAAATCACTGGTTTTGTATAAATCTGCTGGGACAGGGGACACGGGGCTCAAAAGTGGGACTGTCCTGGGTAAATAGGGATGTCTGGTCACACTACTCCAAATACAACTTTGCGAGGGTAAATGAGAAGAGGAGGTACGGTGGTGTATTACGGTGGTGTATTACGGTGGTGTATTACGGTGGTGTATTACGGTGGTGTGGTGTATTGCTCTCACTCCCCAAAAAATATTTCGGCTCAGTATCACGTAATTACGTGAAAAGTTTCACGTTATAACGTGATATTTTTCACGTTATAACGTGAAATTATCACGTTATTTCATGATATGAAATTATCACGTTATTTCATGATGTGGTATTTTCACGTTATAACGTGAAATTATCACGTTATAACGTGATATGAAATGATCACATTATTACGTGATATGAATTTATCACGTTATTTCGTGATAAGCATTTATCACGTTATTTCATGATATATTCACGTTATTACGTGAAAACGTCAATTATGGTTTTGCGTGATTTCATTATAAGATCAGCCACAGCCAAACCACGCTTCCCTCGGTCCAGTCAACTCCAGCCTGAGCATGGCCCACGCTGAAAATGTGGATTCTCCACTCTTGAGATTACTTCGGGCTCGTGTTGTCTCCTTCGCATGAAGCAAGATCGTGTAAGTGTATTTTACTGTTTCGTCCCCAAGTTGTGTTAGCGTACGGTAGCAGAATGTTCTGGAAGCAACTGCTGAATATTAGAGCTGTAGCGAGTTGTTCGCTGTGGGTAGAGCTGCTAAAAGTAGCCTAGTCTGTTTGCAATTCTGTTATAGCTCCTAAGAATTAGTTAAAGACAAAAGCATTCATTTGACACATTTCGGTGTTTCCAGTTATTTATGAATAATAACCATAAAACATTGTTGACTGTATGCACTCAGACATAGACAGTGTAAGAGAAGGTTATTCAGAAAATGTGGTGTAGTTAGCTAAGCTAAGCCCCGCTTCAACTCATCTGAGCCCGGCCTGGGCAGGGGAAGAGCGCTCAGAGGTCCCTGTGCTCCTCCGGTTCAGGCCGGGCTCAGATGATCTGGAGCGGGGAGTGGTTAGGTGCCTCGGCCTGAGAAGCGCTTTTCTCGAGAAGAACCAAGTGCACGGAGGAGGCTCAGAACAGTAACGAACCAGACAGGATTCGCGCTTCTGTCCGGATGCTTTACTCCACCTCAGAACCAGCCGCAACGCTACACCGGAGCAACCCGCACGGACCTAGAGTTCACTGCGCATTCTCGCTTTCCCCGCACGGAACCAGCGCGCAGAGGACGGCACGGAACCGCTCAGCGATGTCTTTACTGCTGTTGGCTGCTGCTGTTACCTGAACTCAGAGCTTCTGGGCTGATGTGCAGCGAGTTGTGTACAAAGTTGTAGGCTACATGTGCTGTTTTATGAGTTTATGATGATAACTTGGGATGAGGACGGCCGTGGTGTTTTATGGTCTTTATTCATGAAGAACTTGAAACACCGACATGTGTCAAACGAATGCTTTTGTCATGAACTATGGAGCTATAACAGAATTGCAATTTTAGCAGCTCTTTGCCCACAGCGAACGACTCGCTACAGCACTCGTTCAGCAGTTGCTTACCGAACATTCTGCTATCTTGAGGACGAAACAGTAAAATACTCTTACAAGATCTTGCTCCATGGGAAGGAGATAGTGTTCTGGTGTGTTCTGGTACACCACGAGCCCAAAGAAATCTCGAGAGTGGAGAATCCACACTTTCAGCCTGGGCCATGCTCACGTTGGAGTTGCCCGAAGGGAAGCGTGACTGTCTTATTTTTCCGGATCCGCGGCGGAGGCGCGGCTGATCCGCTGCGTATCTCGTGGACCCGCCCAGAACCCGTTTTGGATCCGTGTTCAGAACCGGGTTATCTGGCCCGGATCTGCTGCGGTTCTGCCACGGATCTGTTTATTAAAGGTTGTATGGAGGATTTTTTTTGTTTTTGTTTCAAGTTGTCAATGACAGCATTATAGAGGTGCAGTAGCCTTGTAATTATGATGACCAAAAAAAAGAGAATAAAAATTCATCAACTCTGGACATGGTGGGGCTAACTAAACATTTGTCAATAGATAACGACACTGCCTCGTTATCTGTTAGCTGACAGGCTGTCAATCAATCTCCCTACGTTTCTAGCGTAACTGACTTGCCTGCGCGCCGCCGGTACGTGGTTTACGTACGACTGTCACGCAGTCCACAGACGCAAGACGCACAGACGCTGTTTACTCCACCAACGCAACAGTTCTTAGCGGCTTTTTTTGACCTATATCTTCCTCGCAGTTAGCACAAAATTTGTTGCAATGGCGACAAGAATCCAGGAGCAGTTCGCCGCAAAAGAAAGTCAGTTTTTGTGGTCGCTGAAAGAAGAAGACAAGGGGAAAAGCAGCGAAGCCAAACTAAGGTGATTCTTGAAGATTCATTCCAGCGATGGCGCAACTGAAGCAGACGCAGGGTTTAAAGACTGACGCATTGGTCGCCAAATTACTCCTGGACAGGTCACTTCTGCTTATTATGAAAACGTACTTTATTTCCAAGAGCTAGTCAAACGTTTTTCAGGACACGAAAGCGATATCCTATGTCTGAAAACGTAATTTTCAATGCAAAGAAAGAGTCCGCTTGCTGCTGCGTGTTGTAGCTAGTTCATTCGCACGGAATCTCCGCGCAACCTTCTCTGCTCCCCTTTCCTGCCCCTGTCCCCGCTGCCCGTTCCGCTCTTCTCCCTGCTCCTCACTTCTCCGGGCACGGAATCTCCGCACACCGCTCCCCTCTCCTCTCCCTGCTCCCTGCTCTGCTCTTCTCCCTGCTCCTCACTTCTCGTCCGCGAACGAAATGTCCGCGCACCCCCTCCCCCCGCTCCTCACTTCTCCGTCTTGCCTAACCAACACTGTAGTTAGTTGTTTACAAGTCATGTGCAGCTCACCGGCTGTAAACAAACCTGTTTCTGGCGTAAAGAGGAGGCGGGAGGAGGCGTTTCTACGTAGGGAGCTGTAGGGGAGGGGGGTGGTTTCACGCATGCGCAACATTTGAAAAAGGACAAACAGTCGCTGGATTTCTCGTTCCTTGGAAAATCCTCTATACAACCTTTAAGTCGTTAGGAGCCTAAATGTGGTTCAGGTTTAATTCTGATCCACTTCCTACTGACCTAAATACGCACAGCAACATTTGCATTGAAACTGTACATAAAACACCTTTTACAGCAAGTATCACAACTAGGATGTAGATGCTTACATTTAAAAACATGAACCTCAACAACTCAAAGTTGGATCAGTGATAATCTAACATTAAATCTCATTATTTAACAAAAGAAGCAGCAGATTTTTTACAATGTAAACGATGTTTATTTTATTCATTTATTACAAATCTTAGAACATGAGTAATTATTATTAACGGTATAGGACTGTATGCCCTTTGAGTTAACCAATGCATTGTTCTAAAAATGAAAATTACAATTTGCAGTCTTTACTAAAATAGTTCATATTAAGCAAAGTTTAAAAAAAAGCAAAACTACAAATATAAGCCATATGAATAAAAGCATGGACAGATGAGAGTAGCCAAATATTTTATTCTTAAAACTTAACTTTTACTTCTGATCAATGTGCAGGGGCTCCTTTTGGGGACACTCAGCAGAAGAGCTGTCATCTGGGGAAAAGAATATAAGTTTTGGTTGGTTAGCTAATGTTATCTGTTGTTAAAAGTTATGCCTTACATTATTGTATTAAGGCACCGACATGATTGCACTTTAGTCTTAAGAGTCAACACACTGCACAAATAATAATAATCTGTAGTTAAAAACACAACCAGTTCAGACACCGGTGTCACAGTGTCTCCACAGCCGAGGGGAGAGCTTCAAGAGCGGTGTCCAGCCAGAACCGAGCCCGTTTGCAACAACTAATGATCACAGAGCAGAGTTATAACTGTGTGATCGTAAAAACATATATGAATATAAGTAGCGTTATATAAAAATAGTATTTAGATTGAGATTTACCTCAAGACATGGAGTTGTCTCAACCTCGCTTCATCACGTTAGCTGCTACTGTCGCTAACTTTACTGCTACTGCACTCATCAAAACTGATAAAACACACAATCACAGACGTACAGACATCACAATGTAACGTTAACGTTGTGTACATTAATGATGACTAATACAATTCACTTTTAAACTATTACTTACAGTTAAATCCGCGGACAACAGGTGAGTGCTCCTCCTTTCCACTCAGGTCCCGCTAACAGCTGATGAGTCAATGACGCGTCCGCAAAGCGAATCTGAACCGGTTTAGCCGCGGATCCGCTCATTGATAGTACAGCCGATCCGCAAAGCGGACTGACTGTGGGGCGTATTTGGGGGACCGAAAGCGAATCTGCTGCGGATCCTAATGCTATCAGGGTCCTTATATCACGAAATAACGTGATAATTTCATATCACGTTATAACGTGATAATTTCACGTTATAATGTGAAAATACCACATCACGAAATAACGTGATAATTTCATATCATGAAATAACGTGATAATTTCACGTTATAACGAGAAAAATATCACGTTATAACATGAAACTTTTCACGTAATTACGTGATACTGAGCCAAAATATTTTTTGGGGAGTGATAGCAATACACCACCGTAAGGAGGCAACTATAACAAGGTTAAAACCTCAGAAAAGTGGATTTTGCAGAATAGGTCTGATTCCATCAATCTAAAATAAGGTCTTATTTAAAACTGCGTTCACATTTCTGCAGCTCATGTTAGTTTAATATGAGTTTGATCAAAATAAACACACCTGCTCCGATGTCCGCGGCGGCCATTTTGTGGTCCAGCTCCGAGAGGGAGGAGTCCTGCAGAGACGACTCTTTGGAGCTGTCCTCCTGTAGCTCCTCTGGGTGCTCTTCCTGTTGGTGCTGGTGTGGGTGCTCTTCAAGTGGGTGTTCCTCGGGTGGGGGTGGGTCTTCTTTGGGTGGGTGCTCCCGCGGATAGTCCCATGGGTGCTGTAGTGGGTGTGGTTGCTCCTGCTCCTCTGGTCTCCGTGGACACTCGCCTGGTTGCTCCTCCAGTACAGGGTCTGGGACGTGGGCGGTGGTCGGTAAAGGTTCAGGGACATAAGGTGTGGTTGGGCGGTCGTCAGGCGGGAGGGTACCCAAAGGAGACCGAGCACCCATAGGACTGTCGACCTGGGTGCTGGTACGCTCGCTGCTGCCCCCGTTGGAGGAGTGGACTGATGTGGGTTTTACACATCTGGGTTTCTTAGGGACGGGAGGAGGAACCTGGAAAGAAAGTCAGATATGAGTATTTCAGTGGACAGTTCTAGTACTGTACATTATTGTACATTTTAACACCCTGAAAATAACCTGATTTTAGTGTTTTCAACTAATGTTAGTGTTAGCACAGTAGCACTGGAGCTGTGTCCTTAGGCAAGACACTTCACCCACATTGCCTAGTAAGAGTGGTGTGTGAGTGAGTGGTGGTGGTGGTGGGAGAGGCTGATGCTCCTTACCTTGGGTTTCTTCTTGTCTGGGGCCTCTGCACCACAGGAGCTGCTGGTTCTAGGGGGCAGAGTTCTGCTCTTGTCCTGGAGCTCTGGAGGCTCCTGGGTGCTACAAGGGGATGGCAGCGAGCCTCCATCCCCCATACGCAGCTCCGGATCAGGGTTGAACTCAGGCTCGAGCCCTGGGTCCTCAAGCAGAGGCTGGGGGTCGGGGAGAGGAGGCAAATCAAACAATGAAGGAGACATGAACTGGTGCTCGTAGTTTTGGACTGCATTGGAGTTGACATCTGGACTGGCAGGGACTTGGGGAGGAGTTTTTTTCGGTTTAGGTTTTTTCATGACTTTGTAGATGTTTCCGAGCGGGACAGGGCGGTCGACAGGTGAAGCGGGTGGAGAATCGTTGGACAGGGGCGTGGACGATGGTGAGGGGGGCTTCAGCTGGAGGTTCATCGGGCGTTTGGGCAAAGGCGGTTTGATCGCGACTGGCGGTCGGGGTTTGGGCAGCGTAGGTGGAGGACTCGGATTCTCGCTTATATCTCGCCCGTGCTCTTCTTCTATGGTATCGGACGCACCATCGGGACAGTCCTCCAGGTCGCCGCGGGAGACTGAGCGGAGCCGTATGGTTTTCAGTTCGTTTTGCGTTACCACAGGAAGCGCCTGGGATGAACTTGGGCTGATCTTTCCTGGTTTTTCCGCCGTAGATGTGTCTGAATGCCGACGGTTTGCTTTCTGCTTTGGTTTGAGAGAAGATAACTCGAGGTGTGCGTTCCCAGGCATTTCAAACGACAGTCTTGACCGCGCAGCTGGATCTTTTGGCGAAGGCAGTGATGATTTTCTTTCTGGTATTTTGGGGCGGAGCTTACACCCCGTTACCGTGGCGTGCACGGTGCCCGGCTGGTGCGGCACAGTGGGTGTAGGGGCCTCGGATTGGCTGGAGTACCCACTAGAGGGCGACATGAGTCCGTGCGGCGGTCTGAAGGGGGAGGAGCCTTTGTGGTCGGTTTCCATAGCGAGTGGCGAGGGGGAGGTGGCTCGGGAGGTGGAAGGCGACTCGCGGAGAGACTCGGAGCTGTCTCTGACTTTTATACACTCCAGAACCGTGGTCCCAGTGGCTGTGCTCGAACCGGAGAGTGACCTGAGGGACAGAGAGAGCGATATGATTGACTAGTTTTGAAGAGAAAATACGTTTCAAAAGGCTCTATTTTTGCAATCAAGACATTTCAGATCCATCTAGAAGCCATTTTCAATTGATAGAAGTGGCCTGAAACAGTGGAGCTTTATCCAAACATGAGTTACTATGTCCAGCAGAGAGAAAAAATTGGTTTGCTAGAGGAGTGAAGGCAGTTATTTATGTGAAGAAACAGAATCCCTCTCTCAACAGGAGTTTGTTTGTCAGTCCAAACAGAAGTGAATAGGTGGGTTTAGGTGATACTATGGGCCATGCAATATTATGGAAGAAATAAACTAAAATAAATCAACATGTTTAACTGCTTTATTTAGAGACTGGATTCACAATTTTGTCATTTTAACCTCAATACGTCACATCACAACAGGCGGGCGAGCAGAGGAATCAGACATTTGTTAAATCCAGTATCCAGCCCAAACAGCACAGACATCTTTTTCACAAATGACACAAATTTGCTGTTAGACACAGATTTTATGACTTTGTACATGACAATACATTTCTATGAATCTTTGAATAAGATTTGAATAAGGTAGGAGAACCTTTATTCATCTCACATATGGGAAATTTCAATTTCAATGCAATGCAAAGTGTAAGATTTTTTTTTTTTTTCTTTGATTTGACTTACAAATGCTCAACTTCACCTGCATGATTCCATGGAAACATAAAGTTAAAACCACAGTTCACCATGGAGAGTTATGCCAAATGTTGTAATATTATAGCCAGGAACAACATCTCCATGAAAAGAAGCAGATGGAGGCCCTCTTCCAGGCCAAACAAGAGTCAGGTCTGTGGAAAGGCAAGCCCACTCACAGAAAGAACACATCTTTAAGTGCAATAAACCAAAATTTAAAGTATGCTTTTATTTTAGTCAAAATTTTAAGCCAAAATGTTACATACAGTGGCTTTAAGTCAGGGATCTCCAACCTTTTTCACCTTTACAAAACGAAAATAGCGGAGAGCTACTCGTTTTAGCAGCTGCAAGAAATTGAGTCGATATAAGGGGGCAAACCTTAGACGTTGTACAGTTAGATGCCTTTAAAATGTAAAACAATTATCCATTTATTAGTGCACAAAGTTCAAAATAACACATTTACAGTAGTAATAAAATATGTATAATTCAGAAATCCTTTGGCGAGCTACTTGGAAGGAGGTGGAGAGCTACTGATAGCTCCCGAGCTACAGGTTGGAGACCCTTGCTTTACGTAATATCATGTTTATAGAGGTTTAAACTTCTCACCTGTAGGGGTCATTGTTATTCTTCCACTCTCCGAGCTGCCAGTGGTTGGTGAACTCTGTCTCCCCCTCCTGGTCGGGCGCTTGTATCTCCAAACTCGGAGGTCTCTCCACCCTCCTCTCCTCCACCCCGTCTCCGCGCGAGTTTCTTCCCGAGCTCGGCAGCAGGAAGTCGGGTTGGAAGTCGTGGTACTGGTCCCGGGGGATGTGCAGGCTCTTGGGTCGCCCGTCTCGGTACAGCCCCCTCCCGTGGTGCACCCGCCCCTCAGCTTCACCCAGGTTCTTCATCAGAGACACACTTCGTACTGGTGGAGGAGGTTTCCGTTTGGACTTTTTCAGCGAGATGGATCGGGAGCGCAGTCTTAATCTGCTTTCGTTGCTGTAATCTGAAGCAGCAACTGAAATCGTGTCCGTCGTACTCGCGCTATCCTCTGAGCTACCGCTAGGGTACAGTAACGCGTAGTTCTCACCCAGGTAGTTGTTGTGTCTTTGGTCACTGGTTCCATTTCCTGTCGGTAAACGTCCATCAAACCCAAAAGAGTCAGAATCGGTGGGCGTGGACAGCGATCTCTCTCTGAATTTGAAAGCATTAGCAGCTGCGATGGAGCGTGCGGACCTCTGGCGCCCTCTGCTGGCCTCTCCCCCCTCGGTCTCGCTCCTCGTCCCGATCGGAGGTCTGGATTCGGTGGGGAGAGCCTGGATGCAGCCCCCCACCACGGTGTGCTGTTTTGGGGGCACGGCGGGGCCCTTGGTGGAGGTGCTGTGGTAGTTGTGGTTGTGGTGGTTGTACGGTTCGCTCCAGGCTCCGGGGGAAAACGTGGAGCCTTTGGGGCCGTTCCAGGAGCACAGAAGCCCAGAATGGTCCATCGCTCCTGGGGAGAGGTCCGAGTGACGCTGCTCTGGAGGGTCTGGAGGAGAGGAGAGAAAAGGAGAAGACGGTTAGGGGTTAAGACAACACAAACTTAATTTGGACGTACTATTCCAACAAGAACAGCCGCATGTTTCAGGCTGTACTGTTGTTATTTACTCTATTTAAGGTTATTCAAGCTTGTATCAGACTATAAATTAAGACTTCTGTCAATTTGACATGTCAGAAGAGTTAAGTGAGCACCATAAATTCAAACAACAACCTCAAACATGAATTAATCCCCCTCCACCCCCCTTTCTCTCTCTGCCTCTTCTCACCCGGGGTCAGGGCGGCTTCCAGGTCGGAGTGAGTCTTCCTCAGTGGCGCCCCCTGGTGGAGAGTGTCTGTCACAGGCTCCAGAGAGCGGGGCTGATGGGGCAGGTCTGCGGGGGAGGGGCAGGGGGAGTGCTGAAGCAGATCTACACCGTGGAACCTCCCTCCTCCTCCTCCTCCTCCTCCTCCTGTCTCACCTGAAACACACACAAACATGTTTAAAATGAGGAGGTGGAGTGGTCTGTTTAAATGTAGCCCGCACTCTTTATAAGTACTATATGACATCACACAGCACTGCCCTGCTTACAGCCACGTGTTTCTGATACAAACACCTGGCTGCAGGGGCGGAGTTTGAAGAGTGGATACGTGTTCGATAGCAAAGGAGAAATTAAATTTTGTCAGTTGGACAAAGGTTTGAGAAATTGAAAAGCTGACAAATTGAATTTCTCCTTTGCCATAGATTCTCCCTGGACGACTGAGGGATTTTACAGATACCAGTTAGACCATCACACTGTTCCTCATATGTCCCAGACCCTGCCCCTCCTCCCCCTCACTCTTTTCTTTAGTCCTACAGTTTTAACACAGACTGATCTGTGTGTCACTTTGAATAAACTTCTACACATCATCAATCTGAACAGAAAATGCAGAACATCATGACTAAAATTCATCGAAACGTCAGTGGAACAAACCAAAAGATCAGATTTTAGTTCAATCCAGTTGAGAGAAAAGCACAGACATATTCCCTGTCCACAAATACACAAAGCCGTGCCAATGCTTGACTTCTGCACATTTTTCACAAACAAAACACTCAGTCTCTCTTCTAAAATAGGCTAAGTGCGTCTGTCGGCATCTCCATGTTTGTTTAGGGTCATGTGGGAGTTTAATCTTTGTCTTCTGCACAAACGTCAACGCTGCAATGTGATTAGTTGCCCTCACAAACTCACAAAAACTCACAAATGAACTCACAAATATGAGAATCCATCTTGCTGTGTGAGGTTAAGAGTTAGTTAGTCTCCCTTTAACCTGCAGATGTTTTTTCTCATGCTCAGTGTATAGACAGGCCTATGTGAACGCTCAGAACCTCCTGAATTCACTCACAGATCTGCAGAGTTTGACGATTCAGATCAGAGTCCTTTCATGTTTAAAAAAAAAAGTCAGTTTTGCATAAAACCCCCGCTTTAAGAAACTCTTTTCAGTTTTATTGACAGCAGCGTCGCTCTCGTTTTTCAAAGATTGAATCAGTTTTACAGAGAGACACAGCAGACTCAGAGAGGAGAAGATGAAGAGGTTTCCGGTCGGATTTTTCCACCTGCCGCCGTGCCAATGAGCAACACAACTAATGTATAGACCCTGATTATACAGATGCATTTTAACATACATCACTAGTAATAAAACCTGCAGCTGGGTTGGTCTCAATGATTGTAATTCAATTCTAAATAAAATGAACAAGCCACTAGCCAAGGGACTTACATTTGCATGAGAAATTAAAATGTGTCTAAAAAACAAGCAGCGCTGTTTTGAATTGGACAGAGAAACACATAAGGACATTTGAATCACACTGACGCTGTTTGTCTGTCTCCTGTTTCTCTCCATTCACAAAAACCCAACCTGTGTTTTTTTCTGAATCGAAGCAAAACGCAGACAGCTGTGACAACATGTTCCCCCGAGTTCATTCAGCGCCTCTGTTCACCCTCCCTCTCCTCCTCTCTCCATCTCTCCCTTTTCTCTTTATCTTTTCATTCTGTCTCTTCATCTTACCTCCCTCTCCACCCCTCCTCCTCTCTCTCTCCATCTCTTCTACCCACCTCTGTCTCATTCTATCGCTTCATACTTCTCTCTCCACCCCTCCCTTCTTTCTCCATCTCTCCCTTTTCTCTTTGTCTTTTCTACTCTTTTTCTCTCTTTCATTCTATCTCTTCATCTCGCCTCTCTCCATCCCTCCCTTCTCTCTCCATCTCTCCTACCCCCCTCTCTTTCATTCTATCTCTTCTACACTCTCTCTATCTCTCATTCTATCGTCTTACCTCTCGCTCCACCCCTCCTTCTCTCTCTCTCTCATTCTATCGCTTCATTTTACCTCTCTCTCTGCACCCCTCCTTCTCTCTCTCCATCTCTTCTACCTCTCTCTCTCATTCTGTCGCTTCATTTTACCTCTCTTTCCACGCCTCCTTTCTCTTCATCTCTTCTACCTCTCTTTCTCTCATTCTATCTTTTCATCTTACCCCTCTCTCCACCCTCCCTTCTCTCTCTCTATCTTTTCTACGCCCCCCCCTCTCTCATTCTATCGCTTCATCTTACCTCTCTCTCTCTCATTCTATCGCTTCATCTTATCTCTCTCCACCCCTCCTTCTCTCTCTCCATCTCTTCTACCTCTCTCTACATTCTATCAGTTCATCCTACCGCTCTCTCCACCCCTCTTCTCTCTCTCCATCTCTTCTACTCTCTCTCTCTCTCTCTCTCTCTCTCTCATTCTATCGCTTCATTTTACCTCTCTCCACCCCTCCCTTCTCTCTCTCCATCTCTTCTACCTCTCTCTCTCTCTCTCTCTCTCATTCTATCGCTTCATTTTACCTCTCTTTCCACGCCTCCTTTCTCTTCATCTCTTCTACCTCTCTTTCTCTCATTCTATCTCTTCATCTTACCTCTCTCTCCACCCTCCCTTCTCTCTCTCTATCTTTTCTACCCCCCTCTCTCTCTCATTCTATCGCTTCATCTTACCTCTCTCTCCACCCTCCTCTCTCTCTCTCTCTATCTTTCTACCTCTCTCTCTCTCATTTCTATCTATCTTCATCTTTATCTCTCTCTCCACCCTCCTCCTTCTCTCTCTCCATCTCTTCTACCCCCTCTCTCTCATTCTATCGCTTCATTTTACCTCTCCTCACCCCTCCTTCTCTCTCTCTCTCTCCCACCCTCTCTCCCTTTTTTGTCTCATTCCTCTCTTCTTCTCTTTCTCTCCATCTCTCTCCTTTGCTCCTCTTTTTCCACCCTCTTCATTAGCTCTCCTCTCCCTCCTTCCATTCATTCATGAACCCCTCCCCTCTCCACCTCTCTCTTCTCTTTCCCCTCTCCTTCTGTTTCTCTCCTCTTTCTCTCCTTTTCTCCATCCTTTCCACCTCCTCTCACTCTTCCCTCTCCTCCTCTCTCTCCCTCTCTCTTCCATTCACACACTCTCTCTTCCTCCCCTTGAGATATTGTTTCTTTAAAATGCTTTTCTATTTTTTTCCTCTCGTATCTTTTGGGGGAAGAGTAGAGTGTTACCATGGCAACAGATTCAGGCCAAACAGCATCTACACCTGTTCTGCTCCTCGTTTTTGGAGTTGCCAGATCCTACAATTAAAAAACAGCTTGTAATTAACCCAAAACACGGTTGTAATGTTGTTTTTCACCAATTGGAACACATTTAACAAATACACAAATTAGGAAATCGTCCCAATTCCTCGTCTGTATCTGCTCCTCACTGTGCTGACAAACTCACATGACAACATTGGCTGCTCTGATTGGCCAGAAGTCAGAAAATATGCTAATTGTGGTTTAAAATATAGATGCATCGTGAATTTCAGACTTCCAGTCATTGCACAATACATACTGCGAAGGATTTTCTGAAAAAGTGAGCATCAAACCACCATGTTTGTTTTCCCAGTGGGATGCGTCTATTGACAAAGTCAGTCTTTTCTAGTCTTTTGAACCATGTCACTTTTGTTTCTGGTTCTGATATTGTCATATTTTGGTTTTGGGATTTGGACATTGTAATTGTGTGGTTGTTGGAAATGTCCTAACACCAGAAAAACGTGATGAACGTTCAAAGTTGCTGAAACAACAAAGTGGGATCCCATTTGTTAAGTTTTACAGCAACATCACGTCTTGGTCGCTTTGCAGTGGAAGGTGTTTCTTGATGAACAGCTTGGTGCCTTTCGCTTTGGCGTTGACTTTTTAAATTTGTAACCAAGTGGAGCGAGGGATCGGGGATTTGCTTTGATGGTGCTCATACAAAATGTTTGCTGCAAACTCAGGATGATTTAGGCAGCCAGAGGTTACCTTCGTCCTTCCTGTGGATCAACACTGCCCATCGCCTTCACCTGTCAGTATTTTTCAATTCCTTTGGGAAGGGAAACTGTTTGAATAGAGGTTTGCAGTCACACACATCTGATTCCCTTTTGTATTAATGAAGTTTGCAAACAAATTTCTCGAGCCGTTTTCCGCTGTTAGGACATTCAACAACCACAAAATTACAATGTCCGAATCCTAGAACTAAAATATGACAATATCAGAACCAGAAACAAAAGTGATATGGTTCAAAAGACTAGAAAAGATCGACTTTGTCAATAGACGCATCCCACTGGGAAAACAAACATGGCGGTTTGATGCTCATTTTTTCGGAAAATTTTTCCCAGTATGAATTGTGCAGTGACTGGGAGTCTGAAATTCTTGATGCATCTACGACTGAATGACTAACGTTACGTTCAGACTGCAGCCTGAAGTGACCCAAATCCGATTTTTTCGCCCCAGTGTGACCTGTATCTGATCTTTTAATGAAAATCTGAATGACACAGATCCGATTTTTTCAAATGTGACCCAGACCACTTGGATATGTGCCCCTAAAAAAACAACCTTTTGACATGTGACTTCAGTCTGAATGGCCACGTCACATTCATCCCACCTACATGTCACAACAACATGGTAACAAGCACTTGTTGTGAGTCAATACAGGCCAAAACCGACACGTTTGCTCACTGAAATAGGCTGCTACAAACAGGCACTGACAAATGTACACAAACATTCTTCTTGTCATACAAAAATTGTGTTTGAACTCTGTGTCAGTGAAGCAGCCAAGCACATAGCCAATCCCTCCCTCTCGGCTGTGAATCCGCACCCACACGTTCCTAAACATTCTATGGACGTTGCTACGACAGCCACACAAATCTCCATAGTCAAAAACCTCAGCGGCCTTCTGCTTCTCAACCTAAACAATAAACAAATAAAACAAATAAGCTGTACATGTTCTGGCTCCGGTACGACAGCAACATTAAAATTGGCCAGCGTTTAAAGTTCACGCTGGAGATCACATACAAGTCACATTTAATTGGAAATGTAAACGATCTGGCAAAAAAATCAGATTTCACACACACAAAAAATTGTCCTGCATTTTATTAAATAAAAATATATATATAAATTAAGCCCTGCAGTCTGTAGCTTAAATGCTTCTGAAATTGTGTAAAAAGTAATTAGTATTGTCAGTAGTATTTTTCATACTTTTTTACTTTTACTTAAGAACAATTTGGCAGCGATACTTGTAATCATAAATTCTATATATCGCCCATTCTTATACTATCAATGAATTTCAGCTTCCCGTTATCGCCTTGGCAACATTTGGAGGACTTTTCCCCATTCAAAAGACATAATATTGTGTTTTACATTGGAGATCGCTATGGCAACGGCCCAAATATCTCATCATTCTGAAAAAACACTGTGATGCGATCTACAGGCTTGTTGAAGTGTCTTAAAGCACTACACTGTGACATTCATTGACTCCACACGCACACACACACACACCATATTCATACAGTGAAGTGTCTTGCCTAAGGACACAACAGCAGAACTTGTTTCCGAGCAGAAATCGGTCCTGGACCCTCCGGGAGAGACGCAGAGAAGGAGTGAGATGTAGATAGGGAGTGGAAAGGGAAAGATGGTAAGAAGTAGCGGAAAGGACAAAAAGGGGAGAGGAGGGGCTGGTCTGACGAGTCAGTTGCCATGACAACCACTATATAGGTCCAGTTTCCTAAAGGACACAGGACACGGAGCAAAAAGCCACTAAGGTAGTTCTGCTCTGATGCTACGCCAAAAGAGAGAGAAAGAGGAGGAGGGAAAGACAGAAGAAAAGAGAAAAGCAGAGTATAAGGAGAGAGAAAGGAAAGAGAGAGAAAAGAAGAGAGAGGTGGAGGAGAAAGAGACGTCTGTTCCACCTCTCATGTTTTCCCTGTGAGCGCTGAACCTGCGTCAGACTCAAACTCTGACTTTAAATCAGATCCTCATTCAGACTGAACAGCAGGGGGCGCCACTGACCTCAGCCAAGAGTTTGTGTTTCAGTAGATTCTGTGTAGAAGAGCTCCTGGGAGCCTCACTGTTAGTGTCTCTACTTCCTGTCCAAGTTAAACATGTTTGAGACATAGAGCACGAGGAAGATATTTAAACAAGAGCAATCAGAGATATCAACCTGGTCCCCATGATGCATCAGTGGGGTCAGTTCATCACCACAGAAGCAGCTTATGAGGAGCCCAGTCCATATGACATGATCATTATATCCACAATGTAATGTGTGTATATGTCCAGACCCATGAACATTTGTGTGATATTGGTCACACATGAGAATGTCTGTGTTTACTAGTGTGGAACCAAAATGTCATTTTTCATGAGTTGCATATATGTTAGTTGTGTGGGTGTAGATCAGTGTGTTGTGTATCACCAAAAAAAGAAGAAATGGAAATTATTTTCATTCCAATTCAAATTTTAACGGCTACACTGAAAGAGAAAGGAACTGTTATAATTAGTGATTACCTCAAAAACTATTAATATTTTAACGTACAAATGGATAGAATTATAAATAGATAATAATTTTTCTGAGATTTTAAGACCACTCCTGTTGTTCTAGCTCCATCCTTCGTGGAGTTATGACCAAAAAAGCATATTTGACCTTAGTTACCTTGACCTTCACTTGACCTTGACTGGTTTCAACCTGTAACATCCAGTGTACCCCGGTTATGTGTGTGATGATTGGGTGAATATTTTAGCCTGCAGATGGTTCCGAAATTGCCGAAATTGCCTGTCCTTTATAATGGCGTGACCATTCAATTGACCCGTGTGACCTCAAATGACCTCAGATCGTCACCAAACCTTTTTTGTGGCATCGGGCACGGGGGCTTGACCCACATACCAAATTTGGTGACAATCAGTCCATAAATGGCGGAATTATCACAGGTGGACACACACACACAGACACACAGGGTGAATACAAAACCTGGTCAACTCTTCAGGGACCAGGTAATAATCAAATGTGTGTCAGTTATTCCAAAAGTGCTGGTGTTTTCAGATTGTAGAACGTGATGATGTTATTCTCTCAAGAGACAGATTTCCCTATTGATTACATTGTACTTTATAATGAAATCTCCAAAATGTTGAACCTCTCTTGAAGTGTCTCAGTCATAAAATTAAGCCAGCGAGTATTAGTCAACAATTTTTCAGTTAGTCACTCTCACATTTTAGTTGAAAATCAAACTCCTAAACAGGACCATGAACACTCGGACTGACCCCAGGAGCCAGAAAATGTGCTGTTAAAATCTACTTTTTTCAGAGTATCTTATAACTTAATTTGAAGTTTACTAATGTATGTAATGTGTCACCATGGTAACTTCTGAACATTCAACAACCACATTGTGATATCACTGCAGAGTATCATTTATTGGCCTGTAGATTGTTGCGATGTGACCTGAAGCACAGCTAAACAAGTCTATGTGGTCTGAACCTCATGTTTAAGAAAGTGTAGTACCTGTGATGTCCAGAGGGAGGAGCTGCGCGGGGGTCCTTCGTCCGTGGGTCCAGCGCGGTTTCTCTGCCACAGGAGGAGGCCCCGAGGTGCTGTGAGAGCCCCAGAGCTGCAGGGGGCGCTCTGATCCACAGGGGGAGGCGTTCAAGATGGAGCGAAGGCCAAACACAGAGGAGGACGTCTCATCATCGTACAGCTGCTTCGACGCCGGCTACGGACAGGGAGATAGAAAACACACTTTTGGTCACCATGATGAAGGTATTTCACATTTTAAAACTTAACATTTATTGCATTATTAACTGCATTTAGAAAACACACTTTATAAACTTCACCTCAATGAGCTTCGTCTGCTGTCAGCAACAGGAATTAACCATAGATTGTCTGGTCTCGAAGTGGACTAAGGGAGTTTGATGTCACCCATAGAGTTCAGTTCCAGTCAAATGAAGCTCATCGAGGTTGGCAGTGATAGGGGCAAATTTGGAGCCAAGTCCATATTAGGAATAGGAATTGATTTACTTTATGTATTTAGCAGAGAAGTCTGGAGTTCTATCTGTGATGCAACTAAACGGTCAAAATGTGAACTGAGCATCTTTGATAATGTTTTTTAAAATTCTGAATTAACAGTTTTATTTACATAGTTCGGAATTAAAATCTTCTCCTTTGAGTTTACATGGAAATAACAATTCCGAATTGAGGGTTACATGGAAAACACGTCGTCTTTATTTAATTCCGCTCAATGTCTGGAGGTGGGGAAGTGTTCTGATTGGACAGGAACATGAATGTATTTACATTGACTGGAAGAAAATACACACTTCAGCTGCTATAAAAAGTTTGTGTCATCTCAGTTTGTCATTACGCCAACATGACACAAACTTTTTTCGCAGTGGTTCCAATGAAGCAGCAGCTCGAGAATTCTCTCATCACGCTTTACGTCTGTCAGCTGAGGAGGAGAAGAGAAGAGTGTCGGAGAAGGAGGAGGAAGAGACTGAAATGAGTTTTAAGAATAAACGTTTACATGATCGAGGAATAAATTAATTTGGCTTTAAAATAGGAATAAACCACCCACTTACTTAAGTGTAGGTGTAATTCCGAATAATCATTTTCATTAGGAATTAAGTGTTTACATGGTCTTTTTAAAGCGGAACACATTTTTATTCAGAAATAAATTATTTTTATTCAGAATTAAAGCTCTCTGTAAACGTAGCGGAGAAGACGACTTTGGATGTTTAATGGATGAAACAAGTGTGAATGAAACAGAACACAACTCCATGTATGTTTTATACATGCATCACGAATTTTGGACTTCCGGTCACTGCACAATACATACTGAGAAGGATTTTCTGAAAAAGTGAGCATCAAACCACCATGTTTGTTTTCCCAGTGGAATGCGTCTACTGACAAAGCCAGTCTTTTCTAGTCTTTTGAAGCATATCACTTTTGTTTCTGGTTCTGATATCATCATATTTTAGTTTTGGGATTTGGACATTGTAATTATGTGGTTGTTGGATGTTCTAACAGTGGAAAATGGGCTTTGGAAGTTTGCTTACTCCATAACTGCAATAGGGAATCAGATGTGTGTGACTGCAAACCGCCGTTCAAACTGTTTCCCTTCCCAACGGAATTGAAAAATAGTGAAAGGTGAAGGTGATGGGCAGGATTGATCCACAGGAAAGATGAAAAAGGAAACCTCCGACTGCCTAAATCATCCCGAGTTTGCAGTGAACATTTTGTATGTGGAGCGCAATCAAAGTTGGATCCCGTTGTTAAGTGAGAGGTGCAGAAGACAAACAGACTAAGCTGCACTTTCTTGTTCTTGTGAGTTTACAGCAACATCACGTCTTGGTCACTTTGCAGTGAAAGGTGTTTCTTGGTGAACAGCTGGTGCCTTTTGCTTTGGCGTTGACTTTTTAAATTCGTAACCGTGGTGGCACGTGGGATTGGGGTTTTGCTTTGATGATGCTCCACATATAAAATGTTCGCTGCAAACTGCAAATGATTTCGGCAGTCTAAGGTTTATTTTATCGTCCCTCCTGTGGATCAACACTGCCTTCACTGTCGCCTTCACCTTTCACTATTTTTCATTTCCTTTGGGAAGGGAAACAGTTTGAACAGAGGTTTGCAGTCACACACATCTGATTCCCTTTTGCAGTTATGAAGTTCACAAACAAATTTCTCAAACCATTTTCCGCTGTTAGGATCCAACAACCACACAATTACAATGTCTGAATCCCAAAACTAAAATATGACAATATCAGAACCAGAAACAAAAGCGATATGATTCAAAAGACTAGAAAAGACTTTGTCAATAAATGCTTCCCACTGGGAAAAAAAAACATGACAGATTGATGCTCACTTTTTCGGAAAATTTTGCAATGACCCGAAGTCCGAAATTTGTGATGCATCTATTGAGGAAACAACATTATAACATGGTTTAAAAAGTCCATTTTGCACCATATGTGTTCTTTAAAATACACTGATAACATCTTACATATAGTTTGACCGCGTTTGTGTTGCCATGGTGACTAACATGAGTCACTGGAGATCATTTTGCCTTGACCGCGCTCACATTATAGAAAATATAATATGGGCACAATGTAGTTTTTACTTTTGGTGGTCAACATTCTCCATTTTGTATTTTATTTTGAATTTTCAGACAATCTTAATCCTTTTTTTTCACCAGTGTTTGCTAAAGTGTGCACCATGGAAACAGGAGAAACATTCCGCCATAGACACACATGTGAAACCACCCCGGCGTGATGTCATTGCGAAGTATCAATAGACATGACCTTGCAGAGTCCAGATGCGTTAATATTATGATCCCAGTGTTAGTACCAGGTTCAGTTTCACACTTGGTCGCGTCGCTCTCGTTTATTTTCATAACGGGTCCATTGCTGACATGAGTTCATTTCTGCAGCGTCACTATTGGCAAAAGGACCACTGTAAATCCAACGAAAGGTGAAATCGATAGGCCCAAAATAGAAGCGAGGGAAGAGAGAGAGAGGGTGGAGAGAGAAAGAAGGATGAAAAAGAGTGAGGAGTGAATGTAGAATGAATAAATGAGGTGAGGAAAAGAAAGAGAAAAGAGAGACGCAGAGAGAAAATGAAAAAAAAAAATCGGAGCGAGGAGAGAAAGAGGGATGGGGTGGACAGAATGAGAAGAGAGAGAGAGAGTCACGTCCAGACACACTGTTCTTAATTCTCTGATAACGGAGGACAGAGACGCATTTGTATTTTTAACTATTTAATGAGTTTATACTTCGGCTTTTTAAAGTTTGTAGTCTTCAAAAAGTTTCAAGTTATTTTTAAAGGAAGAGAGACGGTGAGTAAACAAAGTTAGTAGCTCAGTATCAAAATAGCACAAAAAAATAAATAAAAAAACTGGTCTAAACAATGACAAAGCCAAGACCAGGACTAAACTAAACCAGGATTAAACCAGAACTAAACTGTACCAGGATTAAACCAGGGCTAATCGAAAGACCACAATTAAAGATGGACTAAAGCAAGACAAAACCAGGACTAAATCAGAACTAAACCAGGTCTAAACATGTACTAAACATGAAGTAAACCAGGGACTAAACCAGGGCTAAACCAAGGCTCATTGAAAAACCATGACTAAACCCAGAATAAACAGAAGTAAACTAGTACTAAATCAGAATTAAACCAGGGCTAAATAGAACTAAACCAGGTCTAAACATGTACTAAACATGAAGTAAACCAGGGACTAAACCGGAACTAAACCAGGACTAAACTAAACCAGTACTAAACCAAGGCTAATTGAAAAACCATGACTAGAGACAGACTAAACTAGAACTAAACCAGGACTAAACCAAGACTAAACCAGTACTAAGCCAGAACTAAACCAAGCCTAATCGAAAAACCACGACTAGAGCCAGATTAAACCAGAACAACACCAGGTCTACACTTGTACTAAACATGAAGTAGCCCAGGGACTAAACCAGACCTAAACCAGACCTAAACCAGAACTAAACCAGGACTAAACCAGTACTAAACCAGAACTAAAACAAGGCTAATAAGAAAAAAACACTACTAGAGCCAGACTAAACCAGAACTAAACCAGAACTAAACCAAGGCTAATTGAAAAACCATGACTAGACCCATACTAAACCAGAACAAAACTAGGTCTAAACATGTACTAACCATAAAGTAGACCAGGGACTAAAGCAGACCTAAACTAGAAGTAAACCAGAACTAAACCAGGACCAAATAGAACTAACTCAGGTCTAAACATGTACTAAACATGGAGTAAACCAGGGACTAAACCAGAACTAAACCAGGACTAAACTAAACTGGGACCAAACCAAGGCTAATCGAAAAACCATGACTAGAGCCAGACTAAACCAGAACTAAACCAGGTCTGACCATGTACTAAACATGGACTAAACCAGAAGTAAACCAGAACCAGAACTAAACCAGGTCTAAATAGAACTAAACCAGGTCTAAACATGTACTAAACATGGACTAAACCAGAACTAAGCCAATAGTAAATCAGAACTAAACCAGGACTAAACCAGCAGTAAAGAAGGACTGACCCAGGTCTAAACGTGTATTAAACTTGACCCAGGACCAAAGTTGAGTTTGCCTTCATGACTCCACCCTGTACTGTGAGTAAAGCCTCATCAGATTTGGGTGAGTCTTTCACAGCACGTCTCTAATGGACTGAGGTCAGTGTGAAATCCTGCTTTGTTTTGATCCACAGTGAGATTCTGAATCTGTAAAGTGACAGAAACAACAAGAGTCTGTGACAATGACGGAGGCAAAGAATGAGTCAGAGGAAAGAGAAGAGAAAAGAGAGGTCTGTATAACTCTATGGGAGATTCACGGTTTCTGAAATACATTTCCAAACTTCTGATCCACACATGTTAAACCTTCTCATTATTTGTTTGGGTTTGGCTCCACAAACTTATTATATATAAGGTCCCATATTGCACAAAATTTACTCTTATGAACTTTAAAGGTGCAGTATGTAACTTTTTGTTGCTTGCTTCTATGGAAATGTCATTGCTCTGTCTGGAATGTCCCACAGTATGACATTAAACAGCTCTACTTACATTTATTCAATTACAGGTGTTTTTATAGCTCAAAAATCTTAGAAAAACAGGCAATCTGAGTGTGAGCAGGGTCGCCTCTCCACAGATCTGACCTGTGACTTGGTTTGTTTTGGTCTCCATGAAGATAAAAAGGTTTAATACCATAAAATGAAACATTCCAGACAAAGTAATAACACCTACAAAGAGAACTGGAGTTGTGTTTAGTTTCATTCACACATGTTTGAGTTTCTTATCAGTCTGTCTACATCCAAAGCCCAAAATTCTCTGTTCCACCTTGTGATGTCATGAAGCAGTAGTTTAAAGGCCAATTTACGGTCCAGCGTCAAATCCTCTGCGTCACGACACAGAGAGTCTACGTTGACGCGTACCCCCTACGCAGAGCCTCTGCATCGACCGACGTCCACCTCCGAAATGTTCTAACTACACGCTGAATCGACGCAGACAGCAGGGGAAGCGACGCAGATGATAAGAGCTGTGATTGGTCCTCCCTACCATGACACTACAGACATTTCCTGTACTCAACTTTCCTTTCTTTCAATATACATTGAGAAATAATGTGTTTAATGCAGCTTTGCGCATATGTGTTTACGTTTTACAGAAACAGAAACGAAACTTAAAACTGCATGGCTAACTTGCTTAAACTAAGTGCTCAAAAAACAGATCGCTCCTTGTGCCTGACGCGGTCAGCTTCTGTCGGACTTTAAAAGGACAACGAATATATGTGCTCTTTCTGTGACAGAGGGATATTGTACTAATGGTGAATCTGTTCTGTGCTTTTATCGTGTCGGAGATGGAACTTTTCAGAGATTATATGTCTGCAGGTCACACGCATAGACTGTATATATGAATGGACATACATCCTAGCCCCCTCACTTTTTGGCGATGACTTACTTCGCGAACAGACCTCGACCTAAATCAAAAACGACGGGTTTTGGCGGCAGTAGTCGCATTGAGTCGACGCAGAACTATGCTTCACCCTTAACAGCTCCTTTTACCTTTAGTTCAGTAGAGATTGGCAATTCCAGGGCATGAAATTATCCAAATTATTCTAGTGAAGATGTATGGAGTGAAGCACTGAGTGTTTTCTGTTTGAGAGAAGAACTCAGACCTAAATATGCTGGATTTGTGTGTTAAACATGTGTAAATGAAATAAAATGCAACTCCATGTATGTTTTTTCTCTTCTCTATCATCCCTGTCCACTTTCCCGCCCTCCCCATAGACTGTACGAGCTTCCTCTGTTGTCAGATGTTGTCTGTTGTCCACATTAAGGGACTGACCTCATGGAAAGAATGTACCTTATAGGTCTGTTATTAATGTTCATATCTTGATTTATGGACAAAATAGCGAAAATTAAAACACCAGGATGATATTGAGCAGGTTAATACGAGCATTTTAAAGGGACAGTTTGGAATTTTGGACATAGGGCCTCATTTCCTAGTGAGCCAGAGTGTTGGAGACGTGTGGAGACACTTTTTGAAATAATCCATCCAGTCCTTGTATTTGCAGAGGTCGATAACTATGACCATTGACATGCACTAGCCTAGCACCAACAACCTCTGCAAATACCGTATATTCTGCACTATAGGGTGCCTCTAACCCCATCAAAAAACGACTGCGCACCCCACAATCCAGAGCGCCCTATACACAAATCCACTCGGGAGTCCCAGCACGACTTCAGTAAACTACAAAGTCGCACCATCCACCGCGCACGCAAACACACATGCAGAAGACAGCGACTGCGCAGCCAAAATCACCCGCAGCCACACTCATCACTCCACGCAAACGAGGAATGGAATGGAGGAATTAACCGAAAAAGCGAGTACAATATGCCACTTCTACACACAACTGAACAACTGAGTCACTGCGAACACGCCGACAATCCAGCGGTCCTAGACAGCACCCTCCCTACACGCCACAACTGAACAAAGCCCAGAGTCACCGTGAACGTGCCAAACAAAGTCCCACTGACCCATCACACTGTTGGAATATTTTAAAAAGTATCTCCACACGTCTCCAACACTCTGGGGTCCCGTTCACACTAGTACATATTTGAGTTGTTTCATTGTGGATACATTGTTCGTCCACACTAATCCGATGGAAAACAGCTCCAGAGACGGAACGATCTGATCCAGCTGCCACGAATTCATCTGAGTACGGATCTGATCTGGCACTGTGTGGACGCCTGAAAACGCTGATATGCTGATGTTGGTCTATGTGCCAAAGTAATTCACCTCCAAAACACTAAAAAACTAGATTATATGTCCATTCATATATATGGTCAATGCGTACGACCTGCAGACGTACAATCTCTGAAAAGTTTAACATGAACCATCTCCAATGCGATAGAAACACAGAACAGACTCACCATCAACAGAACATCCCTCTGTCACAGAAAGAACACATCTAATCCACTGAGTCGTGCCCTTTAGTCCGACAGAAGCTGAACCACATCAGTGCACAATATCGGGCTTTTTTTTGAGCGATTAGGCTACGTTCAGACTGCAGGACTTAACGCTCAATTAAGATTTTTTTGCGAAATCTGATGTTTTTGCGAGGTCGTTCACATTTTCAATTAAATGCGACTTGTATGTGACTCCAGTGTGAACAGTAAAAGGCCCGAAAGTGTCCCGCATGTGCACTGGAGGACATGATGACGTCAACCTCAGCGAGCGTGCTCTGTGTTTACAGAAGTTGTCCAAACATGGACACGAGCATTGAGCACCTGGAGATTTTAAAGTTCCTCTCGTACCGGAGCCAGAACATGAACAACTTACTTGTTTTAAGGAGGAGACTGAGAAGGAGAAGGACGAGGTTTTTGGCCGTGGCGTTTTGTGGGACAGCGGCAGCGACGTCCGTTGAAAGGAACGTGTGGATGTGGAGACGGAGCCAAGAGTGGTGAGTGGTGATGTGCTTCACTTCAGTGACATGGAGTTCATTAACAATTTTCGCCTACTTCAGAGCAGAATAGTGACGTTTGTGGCTTGTTGGCCGTTCACACTGAAGTCGCATGTCAAAAGATCAGATATGTATCGGTTTTAGGAGCACATATCCAAGTGTCCTGGGTCGCATTTGAAAAAATCTGATCTGTGTCAGACTGTCATTAAAAGATCAGGTCACATAGAGGCCAAAAAAATCGGATTTGGGTCACTTCAGGCTGCAGTCTGAACGCAGCCTTAGTTTATGCAAATGAGCCATGTGGTTTTAAGTTTCGTTTCTGTAAAATGTAAACAAATATGTTCAAAGCTGTGATGGATAGGGAAGGATAACGGACACAGAAACGACGTGTCTGGACGCAGATCGTTTCCGATACGTTGATACGGTGTAAACGTAGAATGGCCCACTAGGAAATAAGGCCCTATGTCCAAAATTCCAGACTGTCCCTTTAAGCCCAAAATGACGAAGGCTCACAGCAGCAGTTACAGAGAGAGTTTTCAAACATTTTTTTACCAGAAATATGAAGTCCGTTCTTTTTCCGGAGCTTCCTGGAGACCCTGGAGAGGCCGGAGATCGGGTCAGAGATGTTTCCTCTGAACTTTGTGACGAAGACGGGAGACGAAAAGTTTGACCCGGTTTGGAGTCGCACAACTGCTCCTCAAAATCTGAAACACAAAAACAGACAAACAGAAAAAACTTTAACATCATCACAACAGCGGCTTAAAGGCAGTTTGAGATCGCTAAATTACTCAAACATGCATGGACGACTCTAAAACTTCGTCAGACATTATAACATGGTAGAAAAAAAAAAAAAAAGAAACAAACGCTACATTAGAACCGCGTTAAAACCCCACAGTGGAACATTTCATCACATTAGAGTTACACAAATCATCTTTTCTCATAGTTATAAATAAATAACCATGCACTCCAGTATATTTATTCTGCTCTTCTTCTAAATTTAGACTTGGATGTTGCAGTCCTGTTGCATTGTGGGAGTTTTTGTAAATATTCATGAATTGACATTTTAGCAGCTTCTTTATAAATATGTGTTTTAATCTAACGCAGCCATATGTCCTCCCACTAACGTCATATTTATACTCGGTTTGGGAGCGCGGCCAAAGATCTGTCCTCTCTCTCTCTCTCTCTCTCACTCTTCTTTTCCTCCCTCTCTCTCTCTCTCTCTCTGTGCTCTCCTACTCTTCTCCTTTTTTCCTCTCTCTCCTGAGCGCTCTCCCACTTCTCTCCTCTTTTTCCTTTCTCTCTCTCTCACGTGCTCTCCTCTACTCCTCTCCTCTTTTCCTCCCACTCCATCCCTCTCTCACTCTCCTGTGCTCTTTCCCACTTTTCTCCTCTTTTCCTCACTCACTCCCTCTCTCTCCCACTCTTCTCCTCTTTTCCTTCCGCTCTCTCTCTGTCTTGCTCTGTCTCCCACTCCTCTCCTCTTTTCATCTTTCTCTCTTCTGCATTCTCTCCAACTCCTCTCCTCATTTCCTTCCTCTCTCTCTCTCTGTCTCCTGTGCAATTTCCCACTCCTCTCCTCTTTTCCTTCCTCTTCCTCTCTCTCTCTCTCTCATGTGCTCTCCTCTACTCCTCTCCTCTTTTCCTTCCTCTCTCTTTCTCTCCCTCTCTTTCGTTCTCTGTCTCTCCTGTTCTCTCTCACATTCCTCTCCTCTTTTCCTTCCTTACCTCTCTCTCTCTCTCCCACTCTTTTCCTTCCCCTCCCTCTCTCTTGTTTTCTCTCTCTCTCTCTCTTGTTCTCTCTCATACTCTCTCCTCTTTTCCTTTCTCTCCCTTTCTCTCGCTGTCTTGTCTCTCCTGTTCTCTCTCCCATTCCTCTCCTCTTTTCCTTCCTCTCTCTCTCTTCTGCATTCTCTCCAAATCCTCTCCTCATTTCCTTCCTCTCTCTCTCTACCTTACTCCTCCACTCCTCCCTTTCCACCCTCTCTCTCTCTCTCTCTCTCTCCTGTGCTCTCCCCCACTCCTCTCCTCTTTTCCTTCCCCTCCCTCTCTCTCTCCTGCACTCTCTCCAACTCCTTTGCTCTTTTCCTTCCTCTCTTTTTTTTTCCATCTCTCCTATAGACTCTCTATACAAATGGATACAGTAAACCCTAACCGCTGCATTACAAACAGTGTGTGAAATAAATAGGCTCCATGGAATCTGGCTCCAGTTCACTTTCTATTGAAAAACTGTCTCTTGTCTCTTTGTACCTGCTGCTGTGAGCCTCGTCGTTTTGGTCTTAAACCGTTCGTATTAACTACGTGATCCTGGTGTTTTTATTTCACTATTTTGTCTGTAAATCAACATATGAACATGACTAGCAGACAAATCAGGCACTTTCACTTTCTCTGATAGTTGCGGTCGGAATTCCTAACATGGACCTCGACTCCAAAATCGCTTCTATAACTGCAGGCCTCAATGAGCTTCATTAGGCTGGAGCCGAAAACCATGAATGACGTCACACCTCCTTAGTTCATGTCCTTATTCAGTCTAAGGCAGAGGTGCGCGATACATCGATCCCGATCTACCAGTCGATCGCCAAGGTCGTGTGGGTAGACTCGGTCTTGTCTCTCACTCTTGTCTGACACTCAACAAGTGTGATCATATTTCATTACGGCCGCTGCTGTTGGTAATAAACTTGTAGCGGGTGCAGGAGCGTGTGGGGCGTCTCAGTGCAGCCTGTGCGCTCATTTGAAACCCGCGGAGACTCTACGGCACATCACAAACACACACGCTCCCTATGCACGGCTCGTCTGCAACAGCGTGTGCCCTCGTGTACCAGCGTGCATCACAGGGCAGGTTCAACTTCCTAAACATCCTACCTGTCCATCTGCCTCACGTCAGCACGCCGCCCCTCGCCTTTTCACGCTCTCGCTCCTTCCTGCGTACAGCGAACACAAGCCCCTCCCACAGTGCGGCTGATTAGAAGAGCAAGACCAAACGTGAAGCAAAAACCAGTCTAGATTTGTGTTCCAGTGTTGACACAAAGCAGGTCTACAGCATAGAGCGGATCTACAGAACAGACCTACTGCCACATTTGGCTGAAGTTTGTCTAACAAAAGTGACAAATGCATCTGTGTTTGTCACGATGTGCGTTTGGTTTGGTAAATGTGCAGAGGCTGGTAAATATCACTGCAAAACCAGAAAAGAATGCAACTCCAGTTTGGAACTTTAAAAAACAGGTTTAAAAATCTTCCTTCACTTTTTTCATAGTTTTGTGTAAAGTGCCAGAGGAAGTTCTCTTAAAGAAGAGGTTCTCAAACTGTGGGTGAGGGTCCACAACGGGGTGTTTCAGTGCAGTTTGCTTGGCTTTGTATTAGGTAGATCATTTTGACTTGGTCATTTTGTAAGTAGCTCACATGCTGAAAAAGTGTGAGCACCCCTGGTCTATGGCCTAGGCCTCTCTCCTCCTTTCCATCCTCCCTCTCTCTTTCTCTTTCTCCGTCTCTCTATGACTCCCCCTCTTCACCTCTCTCTCTTCTCCACACAACACGCTGCACTAACACAATGTAAACTCTGTCATGGAAATGTAAAGATCATAAAGAACCTGACATCTGGAGCGGCCTTATGCTTTTTTTTTTTTTTTTTTTAAGGGCTGTTTATAAGTTCTTGAGAAGGTATTATGCAAAGTCTTAAATAATGGTATTAAATCTTTCTATCTTCAAGGACACTAAACCAGGCCAAGTTACAGGTCAGAACCGTAAGGAGGGTTTGAATAGGGCCCAGGAGAGATCGCTAAATTACTAAAACAAGCATGGATGACATCTAAAACCTCTTCAGGCATGTTTTTGATGAGGAAACAATATTTTATCATCGTAGAAAACATTCCAGACAAAGCAATAATAACATCTCCATGGAGAAAAACATTTGACGGACCATCCTTTAAAACCAAAGTATCACCAGGTATCAGAACGGAATAAACTGGACCAGTTCATCTTTATTCTAATATATTTGAAAACAGTCACATTTTTTAATTATTACTTCTACCTGATTGAGTGTGTACATGTCTGTGTTTGTGTGTCTAAATAAGATTTAAAAAAAAAATACAACAAAAATAGGTGACCATTTTTAATACAGTCCAACTGAGAGCATGGGCTTGTGTTTTGTTTATCTGTTTTGAAAGCTCATATATCAGGTGATTGTCCCTTCTCCGGTAAAGTGATGTAGTGCAGCTTAAAAATAACTTCACTTTTGTTTATTTATACTGACAGAGAACACGTTGAGCTTCGTGCCAGGTTTTGTTTCATGTGGATAGGCCCGGTAATTACAGAGATATGAACCATAAACCAGGTCAACAAATCTGCAATCTGACAGTTAAAGGTCCCACATTACGCTTATAAAACTGACTCTTGTGAGCTTTAAGTCGTGTGATAATGTTGTTACCTCCTCAAAAACAGACCTGGAGTTGTGTTTTGTGCTATTCACACTAGGGTTGGTGGTATCTAAACTGTCTCAGGATTTTACCAGGGTATACGGTATTACCTTATTACCAAAATGTTTAAGTACGACTTTGGTAAACTACAAAGCCGCATCGCTGTACGGTCTATGCGTATGATCTGCAGACTTATAATCTCTGAAAAGTTAAAACACGAACCGTCTCCAACATGACACACGCAGAGAACAGACCTTCAGTCGCAACATCCTCTGTCGCAGAAAAAACATATATTCCACTGAGTCGTGTCCTTTAGTCTGACAAAAGTTGAACCGCATCAGCAGCACAAGAAGTGAGCTGTTTTAATCAGCGCTTACAGTTCATGCAAATGAGCCATTTTTAAGTTTAGTTCCTGTAAAACGTAAAGAAATGTGCACCTGAAACCAAAATGCTGCTATAAATTACAGAAGTACTAGTAATTTTGGGGGGGACAAACTCTCTCGCAGCCGGACTTGCCATCTTGTCTTGGTGTCCCTTATGAGCATCACGTGACAGCAGAACGAAACTAATTAAACATCATCTCCCCAAGAAACATTAAAGATACTATTAGTTTTAAATCGTATTAAATTAATTAAATTGCATTAAAGTCAAAAATACAACCACACATTAATTTGTGCTGAGCAAACAAATGTAGATATCAATAAATTATAATATTATATCAGGTCCTTATGCGCTGCAAATTTTTTTTAATGACGGTGATGAAACTGATACTGTTACTATTTTTTGATACTGCGGTATACTGTAATACTGTAATACTGTATTATTGCCCAACCCTAATCCACACATGTTTGAATAATTCTTTATTATTAGTCTGTCCACATCTCCAAAGCTCAGAATGCTCTGTTCCACCTTGTGATGTCATGAAATGGTAGTTTTTCAAGTTATCAGCTCCTTTTACCTTTAGTTCAGTACAGAGGGCTGAAATCATCCAAAGGATTCTAGTGAAGGTGTACAGAGTTTAAAAACACAATGGAGCACATCCTGTATTACCACGTGACATCACAAGATGGAAGTGTGGAGTGGAGTGTTTTCCATGCAAGGAGACAGGAGAGGTGAGAAACAGACAAAATATTATTACTCCCTTGTGGATTCATAGAAGGTCAAATATTTTCTGGTATTTGGTGTAAAACTTTATTTTTTTACTCGCATTGCCATTTCAGTTTTGACATGAAACAGACAATCTACTTCAGGGTAACCACGGGGTCTTAAATGTCTTTAATTTCATGTTCCTAAAT